GATTCTCAGCATGATGTTTCTTTGGAAGAACATGGGGCACTGCTCGGAGGAAACGGAGCGTAAGCACGGCTGGTGGGCGGGATACCCGTACTGGCGTGATCCCATCGCCCGCAGGAATGAGGCCAAATACAAGCAAATGATTAACAACAACGATGTGGACGTCACCGACCCAAAATGGACCGGGTGCTCCCTGGAGCAACTTCACAGGCTGAAAGCTCTGATGTAGGGATATAGTGGAAAGAGCGGACGACGTAGGATACGCGTTTTCTTTTCGTGAATGGTGGCTGCTTGTCCCCTCCACTTTCGTCTGTGTTATTAGTGGATACTCGTAGTTTGGCCCTTAAAAGAGGCGCAGCGAGAAAGGAAGATAGTGGGAGTCATTGCCGTCTTTATTCTTCCCGTCTCGCCCTCGTGCACATGCACCACCTCTGTGTGTGTGTGTGTGTGTGCGTCGTTGCTACTGATTCGCGACGTTGTTCCGGCTTTTTTTTTTTCTTCCTGTCTTTCTCTCTTTTTTCTGTGATCGGCATGTCGGCGCATTGCACGTGACGTGAGGAACAATAGAATACAAGTGGAACGGTCCCACCATTTCCTCAAGATAAGTAAGGCAAAGCAAAAAGAAAGGCTAACTTTAGATAAGTTCATTAACTCAAGCATTTTTATTTTTATTTTTTTGCTTGACTTTTTGTAGTTAGTGAGTGGTTGTTGGCAGTAGTGTGGGGAGTACAGGTGCTGCCAGATGCCACGGTGCTTAACGCTTTGTCTCTTCCTTCTGCTGCTGGGGCCAGCGGTGCCGGGAAGCGGCAGGGAGCTGGCGGCGCTGAGGGAAGTGTTTTCGTCGCATGGAACGACCTTCGTCGATCTCAGGGTTCGCGCATCACAAGTGACTGTGCCGTTGCGTGACTACGGCGACGGGGCGGTGTTTGTTTACACGGGACGTGTGTACTTTTACGAGGGCGTTGCCTCTCTTCCAGGCCCCGTGATTCACGTCAAACCTGGGGGGAAGCTGGTCCTGCGGTTGCTCAATGATCTGGGCAAACAGATGTATGCACACAGTGCGGAGCAGCTGTACAACTTTCACGGGGTGAATTCCACAAATGTTCATTTCCACGGTGTGCATGGCGATCCCCACGTTGATGACGTCTTTAAGGCCGCCGCTCCGGGGCAGTTTATGAAGTATGAATTGAACATACCGAAGAAGCACCTTCCTGGATTGCACTGGTATCACACCCACTCCCACGGCTCGTCCTACCTGCTACTCATGGGGGGATTGTTTGGAGCTTTTATTGTTGATTCGGCAAAACATGATACGCTGGCCTCATTGCACTCATTTGTCTTGATGATACATTTGTATCGCTTGGGCATCTCAAAGCTCTGTGATGGAATGACTATGGAGAGCGTGGACACTGCCATTGGAACAAACATGTCATCGAGACCCCGTATTGTGAGCAAGAGTGGAAAAGAACTGCCGCTGCCCCCGGACTTGTTTCTCGTCAATGGGCAACACAAGCCGACCATAATGGTAAAACGCGGCGAGCCTACACTTCTTCGTTTGGCTTTTGCGGCTGGGTCGTGCTACCTGAACATTAGCTTTCCGAAGGAGTGCCGTTTCTACGTGGCAGCCATCGATGGAGTTCCGCTCAAGTGTACACGTGAGGTAAAGGGGAATTGGCTGTACTTCACAACTGCCACCCGTTACGATGTGGTGACAATATGCGGAAGGGATGGAGAGGGGAAGCTTCCAGTCATGTTGGCGAGATTGGGGGAGCCCATATTTTATATAGGTCTCAGCCCAATTTTGCCGAAACGAGAACGTCGTCGCTCGCATTGTTGTCATCCCGAGGAGTTGACATTTCCTCTCTGTTTTAGATCTAGGGATGCGGCCTACTTGACTGCGGGCAAGCCAACATTTAGGCGAGATATCTCCTTTTCGCAGTCATGGATTCCAGACCCAAAGCCCTACTACGGTATTGGGTACGGCACGGACTGCTCGCCGCGTGCCAATTCAACGACCTGCTTTCGTGAGCATTTCTCAGGAAGGAAGGGGGAGGTGCTTGAGAATTACCATGGATTTGTTGTCCCCCTTGGTGCGACGGTTGAGGCTCGCGTGTTTGGGGATCCCACGAATAGCACACCACATCCGCTTCACTTGCATGTGAATCATTTTGTGTTTGTGGGCTTTACTCCCCGCAAAGGGGGCCAACACGAGAATTTTTCCATGGCCGATTTCGGAGTTTTCCCCGGGGATATGCGTGATACAATTCCCATCCTTGATGGTCAAACAATTATTCGTTGGCGCGCCGCCACTTTTACGGGTGAGGTGGTGTATCATTGCCACACTCTAACCCACGAGGACCGGGGCATGATGACCTCTTACCTCGTCTACTCTAGCGCGGTCGGAAGGGCCGGTGAAGAGCCTAACGTTGCTGTAGATGAAAGCGTGGCAAAAAGGAACGCGGCCCGGCGATTGTTTCTTGTGCCGGCGATTGTGCTTTTTCTTTGTGCTCTGCTATGTGCTCTTTGCGGGTGGCTGCGCGCCAACCCGCCGCAACCAGGCAAGTGGGCGCGCAAGTGCAAGGACCTGCTTCTGCACCGCTGTGACGAGGTAAATCAGGCAGAACTTCAGCCCCTGAGGGCAAGTGACTGCTCGTAGGGAATTGCACTGCGTGTTACTGGCGTGCCTCCCTCCCTCTCTTTCTTGTTGGTGTGTGCGAGTGTGTGTTTCGCGTGGGCGAGGAGCTGTGGCGTTTGTTCTTTACTTTCATGGTGCTCTTCCCCGCGTGGTTACACTGTGTTTGGCGGTGAGGGAGAGATGCCTCTTTTTGCCAGAATTGGTTTCTGGCTCACCTGGGACGGAGCAGCCTCTCTCTTTCGCTTACCCCTATCTTATCTTCACGCACGATCGGCTATGCGATGCTTCATCAACAGTGTGTGTCTGTGCGTGTGGGGGTGGGGTGGGGGGTGGGGGGGCTTTGTGGAGGGAAAACGAGGCAAGAGAAAAGCTGAGGGAGGGGGTAAAACGGGGCGGGGGTTCAGCTGGGTTGCACAGCCACACTGCACCAGCGCCTCTAGTTTGCGATGTTCCAATTCTTTTTTTTTGTTTTTTTTTCCTTTTTGGCCTGCGGTGCTTAACTTATTGTTTTATTTTTGTCTTTCACTTTCCTTACCGTGTGTATTTGACTGGACCTTCCCGCCTGATGGTCCTTGACGTGATGTTGTCGGTATGTTCGAGTGGTTGACATCTGTTGCGGTCTTTCCACGCAAGTCTTTTTTTGCTTCTTGTTGCCTTTTCGGTTTGTTTCGAGGAGGATTTCTCTGATCACATGAGGGGAACGAAGGAAAGGTGCTCATCAGAGCTCAAAGAGAAACAAAAACAAAAAGGAGTGAATGGTGAATTGTTTGCTTTTGCTGACGTCAATTAATGCTTAGACCAGACAATGGGCACACTGTTGTCCTCCAGTCTTCGGACGGGGGACGCTTTTCCTGTTGTGTTACATTGGAGGACATCAGCGTGGATCTCTGCACTACCTTCGCTTCTCCCCGGTCCTCGTGCGTTGGAACATCATGCTGGGATGAAATACGTGTGGTCATAACTAGAGACGGTGTCACTCAGCGCACACGGTGGCTTTCGCCGGTGTTGGCAATGCACCAGGTTGCAGCCGCCAAGACCAAGGGAGCCGATGCCGCTAGAGCGCCCCCAGGCATGTCCTCTGGTGTCACTGAGGTGACGTGGTCCTCCATCAACACGGCGGCATATATGGTGTACTTTAGGTTGCTTGACAAGGACGTCGATCACTCACTCGATCCAGGACACGCACGCCCCGTGAACTTGACGAACCTGAAGTACTTGGATGCCGACCACGGCGAGGGCAGGGGACGAACCCATGAGAGGGTTTGTCCAAAGACAATTAACCCTTTTGACCTGAGCGTTGAGTGTCGTAACTCCAAAAATGTCCCTTTGGGTGCCGCGGATGGTGCAAAAAATCCTACCAGTGCGAATTTGGAGGTGATGTCGGCGTACTGTGCCAGGTGTGTGTCGAGGGTGTCGAGTGTTTTCAAGAAGGCTTCAATCAAACTTGCTTCAGAGTTTTCAAAAAGAAGTTTGTCTGGCAAAAAAGAGGAGGTTAGCCCCTCTCTGTCCATGATACTTAGTAAGTACATTAAAAATGCGTCTGCCTTCTACCTGTGTGACAAAAATGGGGCGGACCCCAGCGAAGCGTACAACGCGGTTGGGGGAAAACGACGTATTTCACTGCAGCTCTTTCCGTCGCACCCAAAATTACCCAAGAATGAGACAGGCGTGCCTCTTACGCTTCACCTCACCATGGTGGCTCACTACGACGGCTCCCTTACCGTTCCTGTAAGGGATTATCATTCCATGGTGGTTCTGATCGACCAAGTGAGGTTGGATGTCGGGAAGGTTCAACAAGAGACGGGCACCGAAAACGGTGCTGCTCGCAGGCATGTGACAGCGTACGCCTTTGGGTTTACGTCGGATACCTCCAAAACCATGGAACTCCGCTACCGTTCTCTGCCCTTTTAAACTATTTATGTATTATTTTTGTTATTGTTGTTGTTGCGTTCTTTTATTATTATTTTTTTGTTTTGTTGTAGTGCAACAACAAAAACAACAAGAGGTACACATCTGAAACGAGAAGGCAAACCATTTGGTGCGTGACAGTATAGTTGACAATGGTCTACACCCGGTGGAAGTGCGACCGTTTGCCGGTCTTTCAGTTGAAGTTGTTCACACAGGAGTACCCACTCCATACGACGGTTGGGATTCTCAGCATGATGTTTCTTTGGAAGAACATGGGGCACTGCTCGGAGGAAACGGAGCGTAAGCACGGCTGGTGGGCGGGATACCCGTACTGGCGTGATCCCATCGCCCGCAGGAATGAGGCCAAATACAAGCAAATGATTAACAACAACGATGTGGACGTCACCGACCCAAAATGGACCGGGTGCTCCCTGGAGCAACTTCAC